CTCCTGATCCTCTTGCCATATATGTAGAAAACAAAAGGCACTGGGATGAGCAGTGCCGCAAATCCACCAGTAATACTACTCGCAGGACCTACTCCGACATTGTGATACAGCGGCGTCACCACCAATGGAAAAGCGCCCGCAAAGGCGCTTCGAAGAAAAGTGTTCGCTGCTACTGCACTCGCAGCATACAACGTGAATGTGTCGACCAGGTAGTTCAGGGCAGCTTGGAAGATCGTGAAGAAACCAGTCCCCATCAACACCAGCCCAATGACTGGAGCGATCCAATGGTACTGAGGGTCCGCTGTCCAACCCATAATGAATTGACCAGCGGAGAAGAGTATCGAGCCGAGCATCATCGGTGGCAAACGCGCTTCCGGAACTGCACGGTTCCCAGCTGCACGATAGACTTTGTTGTAAAGAAGCTGATTGTAGGCGTTGATGCTGCAGCCGATGATTGCGCCAACCAAAATACCCAGGAAAGGTAGCGTTGCGCTTACTGCTGGCCATCCCCGGAGTTCGCCAAAAATAATGGGAATGCCTGAAGTGGGTGATCGAAGTCAGTACATGTTTCACATGCAGTTCGCACAGCGGATATCTTACCTCCCAGCATCATGTATAAGATTCCGTAGCAGAAGCTAGCGTAGAGTGCGACAAGAAAACAGATAGGTGTCATGAGAAGCTGTAATGGCCGGAGCAGAAACTTTTTAGACAACTCTTTGATGCTGACATCCCACTCCTCGAACTTGGTGTGGAGGGCCCAGTTGCCGGTTTCGTGTCGCAAGCGACGTGCTTTGTAGACGAGGAGTTTCGGTGGGTAGCATTCATCGATGAAAATGATGTCGATGAACAGAATAGTAGCCTGAAGTATACCAGTGAAGTATTCGGTCCAGCGCCAGCCAAGTGATGGATTGGCGACAAAAGCTGCGGAGACAATGGGCCCGAGACACGGACCTCCAACGACCGCCATAGCGTAACCTGCCATGGCTAAGGCTCTCCATGCCGGGCTATATAGATCGCCCAACACACCACCGGTATTTGTGACCGGAGCGCTAGCAAAGAAGGCACCGAAGAATCTTGTGATCATCAGTGTCTGGAAGTCCTTTGCTACGGCACTACCGAAGCTAAAGCAGATTGCAATGAACATGGGCGTCAAAACTGCCAAACGTCTTCCGTAGACTTCGGAAAGTGGAGCCCAGAGAAGCGGACCAAGTCCAAATCCAAACAGGAAGAGCGTAGTGCCTAACACCGCGACCTGGTTTCCTACGTCGAACTCGGCTGCGATCTGTCGCGTACCTGCAGAATATGCAGAAGAGGCCCATGTCGCGCTCATAGTCGTGAGGCCATACATCATGGTGGTTGTGATCTTCTTCTTTGTGGGCCAGTTCATGGGACGATAAGGATCGTCGTCACCCTCGAAATCTACTAGCACATCTGCAGTGGTCTGTTGGTGCGCCAGAGGATGAGAGAAGGGCGCAACATTCGGTCGTGTACGTATTCGCGACAGTGCTGTGTCGCGTCTAGATATTGTCCGGCTCAAAGGCTGATTCATACCACTCGCCGTGGCTGTCGCGGTTCTGTCTCTTGGTAGACTGCGTCTGCTGCGTGATCGTGAAATGCTTTCTTGGAGTTCTCTTCCCGATGGGCGGTGGCCATCATGGTCAGCATCCTTCTCTTCCTCATATTCCGACGATGAATCGGATGTTGATCCGCTCCGCTGTCTTGGTCTTGATCGCCTTCCACTCTCAAGATCTACGTCTGAGTGTGATGTCGAAGTGGGAGTCGTGTCTGTTGACCGTTCGTCTTTAGGCTCCATGATTCCGGTATTTCATATCCTGTCGCTTGTTTCAACAGTATATTCCGGATTGCTTAAATATAAGTACTACGCTTCCTAATATAGGTGCAGCTCGAAGAATGAGAACGATTGCCGGATACGTGGCAAGTGCCGGACGCCTTTATGATGCTAAAGCCGTCAGCAACAATAGAGCGAAGAATTGATAGAACATCAGGAACGCTAAGCAATGACAGATGCCACAAAATTCGACTACCGTTGGGTATCTCCGGTCAGTATGACGTAGATTTTGCGTGCTAATTAGCTACGCTAACCTTGAACGGTATAGTACATTCATTGTCGGCCATGTCAAGGTGTTATTCCCAGACCTCAGTCCGGATAAATCTCCGGCTGACAGATTTCCAGCAAGTATTGCTCGCACGAAGACAGTGTGTAACAGTCGAGGAAAGACGCGTGCGTACCGTGAACTCGCCAGTTTCGGGGACGCGACAGCAATGACGTAACGACTTGCAGCACAGAGGTGCAACGTCCTGGCACCGGCTCTTCATTACTGCAATAGCATGTAAGGGACATAAGAACTGAAACTGAAACATTTTAGGTGCATTGCTAACATTACTGGTATTACTCGAAACGTGGTTATCATCTGCCTAGGTACCTACCCAGGTAGGTCGTTAGATACTATTACAAAGCTCCAGGGGTGTTCCTAATGGCCTGAGCAGCAGCCTCGCAGTCCTCGCCTAGCGGAACAACAGCTCCGTATCCGACAGCCTGCCCACAGCCAGTGAAGCCATAAACGCTCTTGTAGAATCCGGAACCATCTGGACTGGCCTTTTGCAAGGTAGCAGAGAAAACATTGGCACCCGCTGAAGGACCAAGAGTTACGTTGCCCGATCGGTAAGTTGGGTTTGCGGTGGCGTTGTTAAAGAAATAGATGTTGCGCTGGCATTTGGGTGAAAGGAGGCTTCCTACGCTGCCGAGCAAGAATGGCTGATTGATCATGCTTTTCCACATGTCGAGGGAGTATTTGGGTGCTGCTTGGTTGGGTTCGCTAACGAACTTCATATCGAACGCCTCGGAGTACAGACCAGGACCGCTGGCAGGGTTGGGTGCCTGTGCCCACTTCGAATTGATGCCGAAAGATCCATCCCTGTACGATTGGAATGGTGCATTGAGTGGTAGAAATGCGCCGATTCTGGTTTGAATGCCACCTACAGTAGCTAAAAGATTGCGTATTAGTATAACTCGCAGGCTGAACGGAGTTCGCGCCAGTTACTCACCAACTAGAGATGGAACAAGGCCGGCAACGTAACCCTGGGTTACTTCGTCCACGCCGGCAAGGTACGACACGAGGGGCGCATTGAGTGGTGTCTTGGAGTTACCGACGCCGACATAGGGGATCATAGAGCTGCCGACCATCAATCCTGTAGCAAGCTGGAGGCCGCCCTGGCGGATATCGGTGTTGGCTCCGGCGTTGACGATGACGGGGTGCATGCCCTCAGGAAATTTCAGCCCTTCGGGAAGAGAAAGCAGATTTAGTCCGCCTAGGTTGACCAAGCTCGAGAACGACTCCTTGAGGGCCTTCATGACAGCATCCTTGGGTACCGGAACAAGGAACCAGTCTGCAGCATGTGTCAGTACATGATTTCCTTACTCTCCAGAAGAATCACTTACTGCTGGTCGCACTCATAGTGCGGTCTTGCTGGTTGTAGATGGCAACCTCGTTTGGGCAAGTTGTGCTTTGGCCCGCGACGAGGCTCGCGGCAGCAAGCAGCATTTGGAAGAAGAAGCGTGCCATGATGTAATTGATGGTTCAGGTAGATGATTCAGGTGGATGGTTGAGTAGAGAGCGGTCTCACGGTGGCATAGGCCCGTTATATACAAAGATACGCTCTTGTTTTGGGATCGTCGTCATACCCAGGTAGGCTAACATGGTGCTTCGCATCACAACAATAACTCTATAGCTCTGTCAACGCCTTGCTTCCGAGCCTGACCGTAGCATCCGGGGCGATTGGGCGCTCTGGACATTGAGATCGACTGCTAGCATTCCTATGCTCATTCGGTGCGATGTACATCACCACTCCTGTTCTCTGCGCTAGCCATCAATTAGGTTTATGTTCGCGCCGTTTCGGGCTTTTACAACCCACTTGTAAATCAGTCTAGCTACAAGTAATCGCTCGGCACAAGAACATCAACGATCGTCGGTAGCAGCGCTTCCGGCCCGCTCCAATCTCTTCCAGAAGGACTCTTGCGTCGCGCGGCTATGAAGCTCCCGAATACCGCAACCTATGTGATGTGGGCCACCTGACTAAACTCATCTGTCTGAGCGTTTTGATATACAACCGTACACAATGATGCTATAACATGGGACGACATTTATGAGGTCACTCGAGGCTTGCTATTTTTTGGTTTGAGATACCCCTATTACAATGTAAGCACAAACCCCACAAACCCATGAGGTCACTTTCAGGTATGCGGGAGAGCTTACTCAAATGAGTACACTCTAGCGCTTATGGTTCGCTATGGGAGATGACGACGTGAAGCAATTTAGAGTTCTTCTATTCAGGAACAGAAAACTTGAAAGAGCATGGAGGGATGTGGAGGGCGCTAAGCTTTATCTTCCGATAATCGTCTTCCAACTGGTATCCTGTGTTTTGGTTCTGCACGGCTTCATGACGAACATGTGCAAACCGAATCATCAGCCTCATGACCCCCGAGGCTGACCGCGCTGATGCTTGCATGCTTTACCGGATCGTATTTTTCCTGAGGCAGTGTTCAACTCTTGTTAAGGTTGACCACCTGTCCATGACGATGACACGACGAACGTATTGACAAACACAGCGTCAGCAAAGACTTGGCAGGTACCATTTGGCGTAGAAGAACTGCGCGCTCACCACCTTGGACGCGATGTCTACGTAGACGAAGAGTTCAGGTCAGGAAGGGACAGAATGCCATGATCGCTCGGTTAATGCAGCCCTCCCCACATGCGCCCAGGTGGCTTGCGGGACGCATATGTACGCCAAGCCACTAGCACACGCCTCCAACGCGCGCGAACTTCCTCGAGGCGTGACGTTTGCGGTTCCCCAGCCTTGTCGCACCTTCTCACTCTCTCTTACTTGTCATTTTTTTGGTCGCTTGAATAGGCGCATATTTTCAGCAATCCTATGCGACTCTACTCCCGCTATTTTTATTACAATTGAGCACAGCACCGGCCATGACAGATTACAGCAAACAGACAGTCGCGCAACTGCGGCAGGTGTTGAAGGACCGGAGTATACCCAGCACCGGCTTGACACGAAAGGCGCAGATTATTGAGAAGCTCCAGGAGGCCGACCTCGCTGCTGAGACTCCCAGTGCGCCAGAAGAGGGTACCGAAAGCGCGGACGCGCCGCCGGATGCGGTGGAGCAAGTGAACACCGAAGTTGGCGACGACAATGCCACCAGAGAGCATGTCCCTGGACCAGCGCTCTCTGAGGCTGGAGGTATGCGCACTATAAGTACATCGCTGCCGCTAGATGCTGACCCGAATCTAGAAGCAGAGCAGCCTACACGCGAAGCCGAGCCAGAGCCTGTACCCGTACCCGCAGCGACTACCGATTCCCTCCCCGAGACAATTTCGCACATTGACAGCGATATTCCTCCACCAGACGAGATTAAAGCAATAGAGCGGCCTGCCGAGGACACGACCAATGTGGAGGAGCCCAGCCCAATACAACCCGCGGGAGTTTTCAATGCACCGCCCGCAGATGCCGACGATGTGGTTGGCCCAACTGTCACTGAGCCTACGGATGCGGAAGTTGGAGACGTAAAGAAGGTCGAAGTCGCAGAGGGCGAGCTGCCAGATGCTCCAGGACCGGCTGCTGAGGCTCTGCGGTTGGTTCAGCCAACGTCTGGACTTCCCGAAGATTTGCAAGACAGGAGCATGGACGCGAAGACAGCTTCACCCGGGTCCAATGAGCAACAATCCGTTGAGAAGCCGGAGTTGCTTACCGTGCCAGAGCCCTCGACGACGGAAACATCGAGGGTCAACACAGAGGAGGTAGAAACAGACTCGAAGAAGAGAAAGAGGAGGAGTGACACGCCCGAGATGGCAGATCAGGAAATCAAGGCAAAGAAGCACAGGCCCAGCCAGGAACCGGCGCCTGGCGTTCATCTGCAGGAAGACGAGGACACCGTCATGGAGCAAAGAAGATCGGAGGAAGAGACCGGAACTTCAGCACATGGCAATCCAAATGAAACAAATGACACTCGCTCTATACCAGCCGAGGAGGATCCGCCAGTTGCCGAGACTGACACAAGGCGCGAGAAAAAGGAAAAGGCCTCTCGGTACAAAGACCTCATGAAATCCAACGCGGACGACATACCCCAGGAAGCCTTGACTGATGACAGGCCCACGGTGCCCGCGCTCCACCCTGTGACATCTGCACTGTACATCCGCAACTTCATGCGCCCTCTGCGTCTGGAGCCACTGCGAGCACACCTAGTCTCTCTTGCCTCGCCGCCATCCACCTCACCGGACCCCACAATTGTGGAAACTCTTTTCCTGGACGCACTCAAGTCGCATGCGCTTGTACTCTTTAGCACTAAGACTGCTGCATCACGAGTACGAGCATCTTTGCATGGCTCCATCTGGCCCCCAGAAGGTAACAGGAAAGAGCTCTGGGTCGACTTCGTCCCGGATGAGCATGTGAAGGATTGGATCGAAGAGGAAGAGGACGCTGCAGCTGCCGAGAAGGAAGCTCGTGCAAACAAACGCTCACACAACCCCAAGCGGTTTGAAGTCGTATATCCAGAGTCCAGTGATGGCACTGTTGTAGCTGTATTCCAGGAAGTCGGTTCAGGCGCTCCTGCAAACGCACCACGAGGCCCACGCGTAAGCGCAGACGCACGAATGCCACCCATACAACAAGCACCAATGCCATCGCTCCCAACAGCCTCATCGAAAGATACCCGACAAAACACTGAAGCTCCATTTAAGACACTCCACGATCTATTCAGCTCCACAGAAGCGAAGCCCCAACTCTTTTATCTCCCCGTTTCAGATGATATTTCTGATCTGAGGCTAAAGGAACTGGACGCCGAGACAAGTAGAGACTGGGCACCTGGCCAGACAAGGAAGGGGCGGGGTATCAAGACTGAGATGAAGTACAAATACAGTTTTGACGACGATGACAGGGTCGTCGAAGTTGGTGAAGAGCGACCTGACTACAGAGGTGGCAGAGGCGGTAGTGGCTACAGAGGGCGAGGGAGGGGTGGATATAGAGGGAGAGGGGCAGACGTTTGGAGAGGATGAGTTACCCGAAAGAATGTAATCTTTGTGTAAGAAATATCGAAAGTCGAAGACTTGGGGCAGGTGCTCTGCAACAACTTTTCTTGGCCGGTTCCGCCTACCCTATATCAGGCCGCTGCTCGAAGTTGCAGCAGGCAGGAACGACGGCTACGGTATGCTGTAACCTCTTCAATCCAATGCTCCTCCTGCACCGATCTTGCTACGCATGATAGGGTGGCTCCCTACGTAGTCGCATACTGGTTTTCTCGCTCAGTTCGCACAACTGACGACAATGGCCGGCCAGTGTCCAGGCGACGAGCTTACGCATGATCTCATTGTCGAAGTGGCTTTACCCTTTGGCCATAAAGACATCACCTTCCATCTGCTGACTCTAAATGTCTGCTGCACTCTGGCGTCATTAGCGATTGGGGTTTCCGTCTTCCACATCATGCAACACACCCTGCACTACCGACACCCCCACGAACAAAGACACATCATACGTATCCTCTTCGTCATTCCGGTCTACGCATGGACGACATTACTCTCTTACGTGTTCTACAGAAATGCCGTCTACTGTGAGCTTGTCCGCGAATGCTACTCCGCGTATGCTGTCGCAAGCTTCTTCACGCTCATGTGTCATTATGTTGCACCTGATCTCCATGAGCAGAAAGAGTACTTTCGCCACGTCGAACCGAAGAATTGGGGTTGGCCGTTGAATTGGTTCCAGATGCTGACCGGCGGCGAGCACAAGGGGTTGCTGAGGAGGCCGAGGAGCGGCATTACCTGGTTCAATGTAAGTGATGGCCTAGCCTATTCTTTGAGAGGTTACTGATCATCCGCAGATCAACTACATCGGGATATTCCAATACGTTGTTCTTCGAACCATCGTAACAACCGTAGCCGTCATCACGTCATCCCTCGGTCAATTCTGCAAAGGAAGTCATAACGTACGCTACGCTTCGCTATGGACGGCCATCTTTGATGCACTCTCTGTTCTTGTTGCGATGTATTGCCTACATCAGATCTACGCGCAGCTCAAAGAAGATCTCGCACCCAACAGGCCCGTCTTCAAGATGGTTTGCGTCAAGCTTATCGTCTTCCTTACTTACTGGCAAACATGGCTCATCTCGCTGCTCATTCAATACGAAGCACTGCGACCTACGCGCTTCATTGCTCAACTGGATCTTCATGTCGGAATTACTTGCCTGCTTACATGCACTGAGACTTTGGTCTTCGCTGTCCTGCATTACTGGGCGTTCCCATGGAGGCCCTACAAGATCGATCGGCTTCCAAAGTTTCCGAAACAAATATACGAGTGTGGACCCAATGAAGCACTGGTAGAGGTATTGAACCCTTGGGATTATTGCTGCGCCGCTGCTCGCGGCTTCCGTTGGCTATTCCATGGCGTTCACTTTCGGAACGAGAGCGTAGCCTACAAGCTCGATTGCCAGGCTCATGGTCCCAGGAGTCGAGGCGACACGCAGTCAGAGCCACTACACGACGGATCAAAACACGGTAGGAGGTTCAAAGAGAAAGATCGCAAAACAGCTTGAAGCACTCGTGGACTGCGTACGCAAAGAGATAACGAGGAGGCGCGCAGGAGAGAATGCAAGACTAGATACACAAAGTATGACAATTTGAGCAATAGTCAAACCTATATCTGGGTAGCAACACGGAACAAGAATATTAGTACATTTACCTTCTTGATCACAGCCTCTTGCAACGTTGTGAAGCTTTGGAATCATAATGGCGTTAGGTTGCCGACGGGCCGCGTAGCGCTTACATAACACCGATGAAGCTCGGCACGATCTTCACCAGCACCACAGCTACAGCTCTCGTCCTTCAGACTTCGCAATCCCGCAAATCCCCAATGTGTCCAGGTTCCCCACAGCGAATCCTTCTGGTGCCAGTGGGACAGTTAGCGTCGCTGCTAAAGTATGCACGCGACAGCGGCTAGCTTCCGCGTGTCTGGTATTTGAGTCGGCCTGCCCGCATCGAGCGCGTTCCGTTCCTCGATGCGATCGCTTCGCACACTCGCTCTGAGCCTGAGCACAGCACACCATGCCGTCCAAATCACGTGGACTGAGGACCTCGACAGGGTGGTAAGTTCATGCAGATCAAGTATGCATCATTTACTATGAAAGCAGAAGCTTCAACCTTTCAATGCACAGCACCTTAAGCGCAACGCTAACAAGTGTAACAGCTTGACATGCCGTAAGCGCAAGGTCAAGTGCGACGAAAGCCATCCAAGTTGCAGGAACTGCGAAAGAGTCCAACGAGATTGTGTGTATGCTGAGAGGACCCCAACACCCCGACGCCCACGAGCACTAAGTGCGCGTGACGTCGACGTGACCGCAGCTATTGGAGACTCAGCGCCATCAAACAATGAGACCGAGCCTGGGTCTGTAGGCATACCAACGCTAGGTTCAGAGCCTGTGGAGCCGTTACAGTCGTGGCCCTCATTCCCCGCAGAACCGCCGGAGCTCACTGAAAGTATACTACCAAACGATGATTTCTTCCTTGACGATAGTCTTTTCACCTTCGGGGAAAGCTTGGCGCCTAATTTTGGACCTGTCGAATGGTAACTTCGACCCGCTTATTGAGATTGACGTTGGCTAAGATCTGATAGGTATGATCTACTGGCGGAAGACGCGATCAACAGTATGCAAGGGCAAACGAATAGCAATCGCTGGAATTTCGATATTGCAAGTCTATCAAGAAGACAATCCCCTCGGCAATCCGTCGCTCTAGCAGGCGATGATGACCCTTTTGGTAGCGTCAACGTTCACACAGTCGCAATAGCCGAGCAACCATGGAATACGGAAGCAAGGATTGAGTTGAAGCGGCAAGAGCTGACGTACTTTGAACATTATGTCAGTGAAGTAGCTCCAATCTTGGATCTCTTCGACCCTGCGAAGCACTTTGCGAACGTTGTCCCCCATCTCGCCTTGCATAACGTAGGTTTACTCAAATCCTTGTTGGCAGTCGGTGCATGTCATATGGCCCTATCCCAGGACCAGGATATCGTCAATGAGGCAGCTTCTCAGGTTCAGCCCGATACGCCCGCTTCGTCTTCTAGCGTGTCGTCCACTTCACGAAGGGCTGCCGAACAACTGTACTATGAGACACTGCAGTATCTATCGCAGAATATATGGCATCAGTCATATACTAATTCACGCGAAATATTGGTCACTGCTACGATGATCTCGACATATGGTAAGCAATGTCTCTGTACAAATAATGTGCGAAAGGTACTAATTATACGTACCAACTCGTAGAAATGTTTGGTACGGCTGGCAATCCCGATCACAGTAATTGGGATCGGCATCTGAGGGGAGCTTTCTGGATACAAAAGAATGCAGGCGCAAGCGGCGAGTCTCCCGATAGTCTGCAACGTGCAGTTTGGTGGGCTTGGCTGCGGCAAGACATCTGGGCAGCTTTTCGTACTGGACGACCAGCACTGACAATACATCAGCCCAAGGTACCGATGGTGGAACTCACGTCGGAAGGACTGGCGACACGCATCATATATATCGCCGCAAAATGTGTGCAGTTCGCGGCAGCGCCGAAGCAAGGGGACATAGCTGGCTATATCGAAGCAGGAGAAACACTACTCCGAATGCTAGATGCATGGAAAAGTCTCCTTCCATCAAGCTTCGAGCCCATCCCTGTGGAGACTGGACCCACTGCATCTTCTCCGAGTTCGACCCTTGAAGCGAAGCCGACGCCAATATGGATACACCCTCCCGCTCATGCCGCTGCTATCCAAACTTACCATTTTGCGCGAATAATCATGATTCTCAATCAGCCAACGACAGGAGGACTCAACACGTATCAAACTCGCTTCAAGCTTCTTCGCGAAAGTACATCGACAATATGTGGTATAGCTTTGGCACAGCAATCGCAAAACTCCCCATCGGCTTTTGTCAGCTTTCAGGCTATCTATGCAGGTATATATATCAGCACTTCATACATGTTCAGATTACTGACTTGACATCAGCGGCACTCTGTATGGAGACACCAGATCGACAAGCTGAGATACTGGAGATTCTCAGATCCGTCTTGAGCATAAGCAAGTTCCCATCAGTCTCGATACTAGACGAATTGGTCAACGTCTGGGGTGGGAAGCCAAATTGATGATACCAATGGGGTGTCTCCATACTGGTACATGATTATCCATGCAATTGTTTTCGGGCTTGTCGCTAGACGACGTATCCACGCTATACCAGAGAGGCACAGCTACAATTAGAGCAGCACATATGCGGAACCCTTGTCGCGCTTCGGACGCCACTCTGATGTTCGGAACATGACGCACAAGTCTGGGGCCTTGCCGACGAAGCTACTTGGACAATCGGCGAACCTGGTAATCTCGCATCGAGCGCCAATCGGGTTTGATTCAGGCCCATCTGCGCTAGCGCATCGTACTGCCATTTCGGGCCGTTTTGGTGTTGGCCATCACCATCTTGCGAAGAAAAGCTCGAATTGAGTACTGAAACGCATTACATTAAACCAGCGGTTGTACTTGGTTCGGTCGTATTGCGAGTTCCTCAAGTCAAGGGCCGCAAGCCATTCATTGCTATCGAAGTTCAAGCAACAAAGAGATGAGAACACTACACCAGCCTTCCCGTCTCCATACCGCTTTGGCAAGAGCATGCCGAGTATGATATTCTTTGATTGTTCGGAACGCTAGCCTTTTTCTGTTACCCCAAATATTGAGAAACTGCTAAAGCAATTTCAGTATGATGGAATTGGGTTCATGGCGCCTGACTTTCGGACATCAACACACTGCACTGGGGGTGCCGCTAAGTTTTCAATGACTGGGAAGGACCTTACTTCCAAGCTTTGATCAGTATGTTTCTGTAGTTGGGCTTCTTGATATAGTAGGAACAATATCTGTCATTGATAGCGCACTCTTAATCTATTCCATCAAAGCCCTCGCTTCACAGTTCCTCACATTTCGCCAAGCACTGATACATGAGAAGGATCAAATTTCTGGACGAATCCTGGATGAAAACAACTCTCCGAGACGCTGTCAAATCTTTCCGTAGCGAGCAGCCATGGTGGCACGCACTCAACACCTTCGTATTTCCTCACATACAACAATCACTATAGGCTAAAGACCGACGTATCAGTTTACGTATGGGGGAATCGTTACCTTATTGACGTCCCTTCATTCGTCGTGTTTCATGTTGCTGACGGACACGGCCGGTGCTGCACAGCGTCAGCACCTTAACAAGCGGCTGCATACCCTCCCTTTCTAGGATTCCCCACACGGCTCAGTTTAACTTTATATTGACGATACAACCTCATATGAATTCGATCAACTATGCATATGCGCGATCAAAGAACGCTGGCCTTACACACCCCGGATATCCGTTCAGCGCAACCTGCAGCCGCGAAAGGGGAGCAAACGAGTACACCTCGGGCGAATGCCGCCTGACCTCATCTCCCCTCACTTCTACTCTTCCAGCCTTGACAAACGTCGAGCAACATCACCGGACTTCGTCTCGATATTGCAATCGCTATACTGACATGACATACCGCTGAACTTGCTTCTATAGCAATCTAAAATCATTCCCATGACGATATGGGGTTTCGTGTTCATTGAAACTGTGGGTGGTTATTGAAGTTGTGGTCTATATGCCGTGGTGATGGCTTTACCCAGAGTACATGCCCTTGAACAGACGCAAAAGACTACACTGACACATATAAAGTCTATCTGAAAGACCCGAGAGAGCGAGCATCTCCTCACGAAACAACAATCAATCTCATCCAGTCATCTACCTGAGCTGTACTTACCGCATCCACGATGAGGTATACGACCACTGCCGCCACTCTTCTTAGCCTCGCGACCACCTTCGCGCACCCTTCGCCCTCCGCCGACCCCCTTCGTATCCTCCCACCCAACTGGTCGTTCACCATATCCTCCATCCGCGGCCCAGGCTGTCCAGACTCCGGCAAGAACGGCACCGTCTCGCGCACCACGCGCCCAACCTTTGGCTCTAACACCGTTGATGGCAGCGAGATCTACTACTGGTACATCGCATACCCATGGATGCGTGTCGACCTCGAGGCTGGCCCACGCCATACATGGTGCGAGACGACGCTGGCATACAAGGAGTACAAGGATTTCGATAAGACTGCTGAGTCAGAGGAGTATAAGCTCAGGCTGCACAAGAACGGGACAAAGGGCATCATGACGTACGAGCTTGATGAGGGAGTGCAAGTCTACTGGGACTTTGCTTACTACGTGGGCGAAGGGGTTGGAAGAACGGAGGTACGTTGTCCATAATACTGAACCCTCCAATAGTCAGACCATGTACTGACTCTTCCAACAGGTCGCCGATACCATTGACTTGACTGGCCCTGCTTCATCTGGCCCGTATGCTCAAGAACACTACTCTAACATCAGTTACCCACCCGAGCTAATTCCTCAGCCCAATTGCGGAAGTGGTACGTTCACTTTCCGCACAGAGATGTGGGTACAAGGCAAGGAAGGTCAGAAGGGTGTTGTAGATAGTGAGCATTCCTACAGCGAGGCGCTTGGTGACCAGTACTATGGCGCGCAGCAGGGGTTCAGTTATGATTGGGAGAAGTGCACATAAGGGTTACAGGATGAGAGCTATGCTTGGAGATGAGAGGGGCAAGATTTACAATGGCCGCAGGGGAAAAGTTATTCGCGTTATGGAAGATATGTGTCCAAAGATTATCAGTCGTGTTTTCAGCGTCCTTCCTGTTCTCAAACATGCTGATGTGGAGTTCACTCTCAGTGAGCTTTTATCATTGACCAGCGATCTCGGCGTAGCATCCATCATGATTACTTTGCATGGTGTTACCGGGAATATCATGTGTTACACGCGTTCAGTATCAACGCTAGAATACATTGGTAGTACATATCAATCATCGCTCTGCCAACATGTTCTTGATCTGCCGCCAGTAGCTGCCGTCTACTTCCTTCTGCAATTCGTCCTTGGCTAGCCACTTGAAGTCTTGAAGACCAAGCTTGTTCTCCTTGAGGTTGACCTGGCCGGCCATGATGCGCGCCTTCAGGAAGAAGGTCTTCGAGCCGTACTCCTTGAGGTCGCCCGTGGGCTTGGGTTCGCGGTAGTCCACTTGGTGGTGGCCAATTGGCACGTGGCCGACAAGCCAAGTGTTCATGTTGATGCCACCGGTGTGTGTGATGATACGACTCGCTGCCTGGTAGTTGTTAGCGTCTCAGTAGATATCCATGGGATGTGGTATTGCGTACACCGTGCAGGTTCTCCTCCTTCAAGCGATCCTGTGGGAACTGCCATTGCCCCTCCTTATTCTTCACAAGCAGATATAGCGTTCTCTGGAGCGCGCGATTTAAGCTCTTAGTGTCGTTTTTCTGGTCCGCTTCTGTTATCCTCGGCATTGGCTTCTCTACGGGCTCGCGCTCCATCTTCTTTGCGCCACTGGTGTCCGATGCATCCTCCAGGCCAGATTGCTCAGCGTCCTCGATAAGCTTGCTAACTTGGTGTTCAAAGTCGCTCTCTTGTGCTCCTACAAGAAGCTCGTCATTCCATGCTTCGTCTCCGTAACCTTGGTATCGTCCGATGTCGCGGGCGGGGGTCAGCCGTTGCTTCATTTTCCGTTTCCATTCTAGGTCTGCAGGTGTTCGCTTCTTTACGTAGAAGTATCTTGTAAAGGGTAGCGCAAGTCGTTCGTTCAGTCGTCGTTGGTATAGGAAAAAGGCAGCTTCGAAAGGGTGGAGGTCGCGTGTTATTTGCGGCGGGCGGGACAGGACGACACCAGCGTTGACAGCATAGGATGTTGACGGCGATACCTGGGCAACGGGAGGAATGTGTTGGGCGACTTGGTCCTCGGTTTGGACAGCCGCGGCGGCGGCGGATGCATATGTGCGGGCGACGGTGTCTCTACATGAGCGACATATTGATTGACCTTCGTTCGTCAGCGCTCCAGATGCCTCTAGCCCCAATTGCTTTCCATACCGGCTCGTGAGGCCAATCGCCTCGTTGTCTGCTGTCCGGCGTTCATTTCTCCCAGTGCCCTCCGCGGTATCTCGATGCAGCCGCTGCCATCTCGAGATCTCAGAAAAGTTCGGGGAGCGGAGGTGCATTGGGTCTAGCGGCATTACCTAAGCAGATGTTCCGAGTTAACTTTTCTTCGGCGCGAACACCATCTCTTCTTCTCTACGGCACCTATCCTTATCCCCAGCATACTCGCACTGTCATGAGATCCTGGTCATTTAACGGTGCCTAGAGGGAGTCGAGCAGTCTTTTTCGCTAGCGGTACCTTCACAAATCCTAAGGTGTACGGCTAGATAGATTTTGCTCACATTCGTACGCGCTTAAGGACCTTATACGCTTGCATGATTATCTATGCGACGATGTTATGTTGAAAATGGCACAACAGTCAGCTTACCCGCTGGCTCATGCGTTGCGTGCGTCTACGTATGCTTTCAAGCAGAGCGGTCTTAGGTGTACCGTAACTATCGCCAGAATAACGTTGGCGGCTGATAACTCCACGCGCCTTTGCCCCCGTTCCAACTCTCGAGAAGGCGCACGATTAATGACTCAGGTGACGTAGCGTAGCTGTACACATCATCTCAATATATCACATTTGATACCTTACTCCCGGGACAGTTGAAGGTGCATTATCGGTGTTTCCTTCCCCCGATCTCCAAGTCTTGGCATCGAAATTTGGGACTGGACGCGTTCTCGCCGCGCAGAGCTTAGACGCAGGCACACCACCACAACCCTAATACCCCTCACACGCCGCCAACATGTCTCTCACGATACCCAACGCTCCTAATGCCGGCTTGTTCAAGCAAGGTTACCAGAAGTATGGCCCTTTGCAACCCCGCAATCACAGTAAACAACCAGCTAACCACCCCGCAACAGCTACGACGCCGAAGATGGCGCTGTTATTCGCAACATCGACGCCTGCCGGACGATTGCCCAGACCGTTCAGACCTCTCTGGGGCCCTATGGACGCAACAAGATTGTCATAAACCACCTTCAGAAAATGATCCTTACCTCGGACGCGGCGACGATACTGCGAGAACTCGAGGTTGTACACCCTGCGGCGAAGCTTCTCGTCATGGCCAGCCAGCAGCAAGAGGCAGAGATGGGTGATGCGACAAACCTGGTCATCGTGCTGGCCGGTGAGCTGCTGAAGAAGGCGGAGGAGTTAATACGGATGGGCCTGAAGACAAGTGACATTGTCCTGGGTTACGAGAAGGCACAGCTTGCGGCTCTGCAGACACTGGAGGGTATGTCACGCACGTGAAGTGGCAGCTGAATGGGGGCTAATCTATCACAGAGCTGGTATGCGACAAAGTCGAAGACATCCGCTCGCAGCAAGAACTCAGCAAAGCCATCCGCACCGTAGTCGCAGCCAAGCAGTCGGGCAGCGAAGACTTCCTCGCTGACCTCGTCGCCGAAGCCGTTCTCGCCGTCCTCCCCAAGAACCCCATCAACTTCAATGTCGACAACGTCCGCGTAGTAAAGATCATGGGCGGTGCCCTGGAGCAGAGCAAGGTCGTCAAGGGCATGGTCTTCGCAAGACAGCCAGACGGTACCGTCACAAAGGCGACAAAGGCCAAGGTCGGAGTCTTCTCATGTCCCATCGACATTTCACAGACCGAGACCAAGGGCACGGTACTGTTGCACAACGCAAAGGAGATGATGGACTTTACAAAGGGCGAGGAGCAGCAAGTGGAGCAGATCATCAAGGAGCTCCACGACTCCGGTATGAGGGTCGTTGTTGCTGGCTCGACCATCGGAGAGCTGGCCCTCCACTACCTCAACCGCTACAACATCCTCGTCATCAAGGTTCTCTCCAAATTCGAGCTTCGACGGTTATGCAGGGTAGTCGGTGCTACGCCGCTCGCTCGTCTCGGTGCACCTATGCCAGATGAGATGGGTACTATCGACGTCGTGGAGACACTGGAAATTGGCGGTGACCGCGTCACAGTATTCAGACAGGAGAATGAGCAGACACGGACCGCGACTCTGGTTCTACGCGGCGCTACTCAGAACCACCTCGACGACGTTGAGCGGGCGATTGACGACGGTGTCAACGTGGTCAAGGCCATCACCCGTGATCCTCGACTGGTTCCAGGTGCTGGAGCAACAGAGATGCAGCTTGTTGAGAAGATCAAGGCTATCGCGGACAAGACATCCGGTCTGGCGCAATACTCTATCCGCAAGTACGCTGAAGCTTTCGAGGTCATTCCACGAACTCTCGCCGAGTCAGCCGGTCTGGACGCAACTGAAGTTCTCGCCAAGCTGTACGTCGCACACGCTGCACAGAAAGGCAGGAAAGACGACGAGTGGACTGTCGGTGTCGATATTGAGAACGACGACAACACCGGTACACTCGATGCCAAGGAAGAGGGCATTCTCGATCTCTGGGTTAGCAAGATGTGGGCCATCAAGCTCGCTACCGAGGCTGCGAGGACGGTTCTCAGTGTCGACCAGATCATTGTCGCAAGGCAAGCTGGTGGACCCAAGATGCCTGGAAAGGCGCAGCCGGGCAACTGGGACCAAGATGATTAAACTTCGTTGCCGGTATGAGGGGTAGTGTATAATGACATCAACTAGACGCTATTGAAGCACCAGACGAATGATATCTTCGTTCTACCTCACCGGGTTTCGGCTGTTCACGTGTCACGTATATCATGGTATGGAAGTACCGAATGCTTCTGAGCGAACCCGACCAACTTTGGAGCTGATGTGATCATTTGTCCGGCTTCTCGGGCACTCGTGGGGTTGTTCTTAATATGATGTCTCTTCGACTCAAGCTACCAAAACCCAGAGCTCGTACCAGGATGTTGGTCCGTTGGCTTTCATTGGATTAGGAACATGAGGTTTGTTTTTCTTCTTCAGCTCAGTTCTGAGCTCATATACGGTCCTTGTGTGGTCTTATTTTGATCCTGGTCTAGCTGGAAACTTGCAGTAGCAGTCCAATCAATCCTCGCCGCGGAAGCGGCCTTATCTACCCCTCGTTGATTCTGAACGCAATCCTTCAGCCAAGAGCATGCAGAGTTTATCGATTTTTGCTCTAGCATTACAGCTATGTCAACACTTACTGCAGACTTGTCCAGGGCCTGGTTGGCATGAACAGCAGACGTTGCTACCCGAGATGCATGATGCATCGGCACCCAGCTCCCACTCCCGCTGCTTCCATAGATCACGCGGTCCGTGTTTCGCGCTTGGCCCGACAGAGGCATGATCCGCGACAATGATGCAGCAGGATGCTGGGTGAACGCGACAGATCGCTTTCCTCTTTGTTCTTCCAGTATTCCTCTGTAAGCATAATTTCCACGGAGGTGCCGAATCGCTTGGCGTCTGGCGAAGTATAAAAAGCCGCTCTTTTCGCCTTGGTCCACTTGTACGCCACATTTTTCGTGTTTTCCTACATATCGCTCTTCGCTCGATCAGCGTACACTCGTCAATACCGAACACATTTATTGAGCACTTTGCTCAATGCGCAGGTCGTAAACTGTGGTATGGTCTTCAAATCTAGTTAGCCCTGTTTGACTAACTGTTCGATAGTCGAAAACATCATCAACGCCATCTTGCCGAGCACAATATTCCATTCATCGACCTACAGTATCTCGCTGTGAGTTCCCTACCTACACCCATCCCCCATCTCCACATATCCACATATACAAATATCCCACCTCCACACCTCCACATCTCCCCAAAGCCGGTCTCAACCCCTACGCCTCACGGTGCGGGTCTTTTGGTGTTAAAAATTATTTGTGTCACTTATTGTTACTCTCCGATCCTCTCCAGCTATCTATCGCAACTGTCGAGCGCCTGACTGCAAAGCAGTGTATCGGCGCGGCGGATCTCCTGGAATCTTCACATGCCGTACATGTCTGACCCAGACGTGCACTCTATGCCATGCAGAGCCCCATGTCGGCTGGACTTGCGCAATGCATGCATCGCATGTCAAGAATCAGCATAACGAGCAGCTTCTGGACGAGTACAAAGCGGGCGCTGGTACGAAAGAATGCCTAAAATGCGCCACACTTATCGAGAAAGTCGACGGATGCAACCACGTCGAGTGCAACGGTTGTCACGGACACATATGCTGGGTGTGTCTCAAGGTCTTCTCGGAAAAGGAGGCAGTGTACCAGCACATGTACGACGCGCATGGAGGATATGGGCCGGTGGAAGGATCGGACGACGAAATCAGCGACTCGGGGAGTGATGAATGGGAGGATGAACACGATTTCGCGGACTTGATTTGAGCGCCTGCTCTGATCGAGAAACCTCTTGTGTGCCTTGTGGATGGGATCTGGAGGTGAACAGGGTCCATTCCGCAGCAGGTGTGATGTCGCATTCTTCATTCAATTTGACTAAGTTTCATAAACGCGAAACAAATAAAGCTTGTGGATGGAAAAGACAGTAGTGATTGATAAATCCTTGGATCAGCAAGCGGAAATGCAGCGTCATTGAGCATCGGAGCCAATGAGAGCTGCCGATGCCTTGGCGATGTGCTTACGAACTGTCGGTCTCACGGATCTGTGGGCATCCGACCGGCGGCTGCCCTTCCCTCATTACAAACCTCGCCTGTGTGCTATCGCGACGCGTTAACGGCCGACACAGCGAGGAAGTGTCCGTAGGATCTTACATCGATGTGACTGGGATTCAGTGCTTGATTACAAGTTTCCCGAAAAATTGGTCCGTCGTTCAGGTGATGACAGGCGCTCGGTGCATACGCGGTTGAAGAGGTGAGTATATGTAGAGCAAGACCTCTTCGGCTTTCAGGTCATTCAACACATTGCATCTCAACATCCCATTTCCAAACATATTGAACATATCACACATCATCTTTTATCCTTACTTCTAGGTTACTTTCTGGCTTCCTGCACGACCAATCACACGATGTCAGAACAACGCAACATTGTCATTGTTGGCGCATCGGGCGCGGGCATACAGGCAACCCATTACATCCTGAAGCACATTCTACCAGCTCTCAAGGCAAAGAATGACGCCAAGTATCATGTCTACAACATCTCGCCATCTTCACAGTGGTACTTCAGGGTTGCCTCTCCACGAGTGGCAGCTTCTACCGAGCGCATGTCGACCGACAAGGTCCTCTTCGATCTGCATGAGGGCTTCAAGTAATACTCCAAAGACGACTTTACTTTCATCGAAGGCTCTGCTACGGGTCTAGAGCCATCATCGCGGCGCCTCCTATTTCGCAGCAACAAGGGACAAGAAGACGAATCATTGACGTATCATGCACTCGTCGTGGCAACTGGAAGCAAGACTTATTTCCAAGCTTTCTCGATGAGCGCCGATGCTCAAAGTACCCTGAACGCGATTAGCTCTGCAAATGAGCAAATCGCATCGGCAAAGAAGATTGTTATCGTTGGTGGAGGCGCAACAGGCGTAGAATTTGCGGGCGAAGTTGCTGAGCATCGCAACGGCAAGCCAGGATGGTTTAGCAAGGTGCAGCCAAAAGTTGACGTTACCCTGATCACATCGGACAAGCAGCTTCTCCCCGGTCTCCGGCCTGCAATCGCCAAAGTTGCAGAGCAGAAACTCAAAGCGCTCGGGGTGGAGATCGTCTACAACACGCGAGTGGTCGATTCAACGCAGACAAAAGATGGTCGCACGGCGCTGACCCTCAAGGACGGTGGCAAGCTTGAAGCAGACCTCTACGTTCCCGCTTACGGCGTTCAACCAAACTCGTCGTGGCTGCCAGATCAATTGCTCAATGAAAAGGGCTACCTCGTAACGAACGATTCCACCCTTCGCGTCGACATCGCAGGCCCCCGCGTCTACGGCTTCGGCGACATCGCGTCATATTCGCGCAACAACTACTGGGACATTAACCTGGCTCTACCTACCCTAGTCACCAACATCAAGCGCGACCTGCTCTCTTACAACCCCATGCTTCCAGAGGCGAAACCCAAGGGCAAGGACAGAGTGTACACGGCTAACACGACGGAGTCTATGGTTGTCCCCATCGGTAGCGGAGGCGGTGTTGGTGCCGTTTTTGGATGGAAGGTACCTTCATTCTTCGTGTGGATTTTGAAGGGGAGGGATTACATGTTGGGGATGAGTGGGCTGCCGACGCTGAATGGGGACAAGGTCAAGAAGGAGGTCAAGTGGACGAAGGAGGAGGCTGCGATCTGAGTTTGACTGTATGCATGGCGAATTTTCCTATTTTTATAGCGTGCGATGTTTCTGTGTCCTTGGCAGTTGTAGAATCTTGGTAATGTTAATAATACTTGATATCACATGCGCTTTCCCGAGACGCTTTGTGTGTTGTGGATGATTGCTCTGCGGAGAAGGATGCAACGCGATTGGTTTCGAGCTCGCTCCACCACGGCGCGCTCCGCGTGAACATCACTCCCTTCCACCCTTGGACCCCACGTACACGGCGCAAATGCGGGGTGAGTAGGACATCAAATGGATTTCGTACGTCTTCGCCCTGCTGCAGCTATGGTTCGCGCACTGACGACAGCAAGTGGGTGAGGCTACTCGGCGGGTCGTCCCAGAAGAAGAAGCAGGCCGCCCCGAACAACCCCCAACAGCGGCTGGCACGCTTCCGCCAGCGCTACAATCAGATACTGGTAGGCCTGGCTGAGTCACCCGGAATACTGCGAGTCTGACACATGGCAGCAAACATGGCAGAAGTCCACCAACCTCGCCCACGACCGCGAAGCCCTGGGCAACATCCGGCGCGGCTTCCAGGCCCTCACAGCCATCCTCAGCGATGAGTCGCGATCACCGGCGCCGCACATGTGCCTCCAGTTCGCCGCCGCCCAGCAGATATACACGGCCGTCTCCAAGATCGCGGCGACGGCACACGATGAGGGTACCGTTAGGGACGCCGTGGCCTTCTACAATGCCCTCATCGACAGCGAGGAAGAGGACTTCCTCGAGAACGACGTCTTCGCCGCGTCGCTCATGAACTTCATCGACCGCACAGTCGGGTCTGGCAGCATGGGCATAGGAGAGGACATCGAGGCCGACATCGTGGAGCTGCTCTTCGGCATCGCAGCCAAGATCAGGCTACAACCAGAGATTCTGCATGTCTGGTTCACGACCACATCCGCAAACAGCGAGGGACGAGTGCTGAATCCCAAAACCGATTTCGCCGGCGTCACACAGAAAGAGGACTTCCCGTTGTGCTATCAGCTCATCGACCATGTCCACCACGAAGGCCGTATCGGGGATTTTGCGCGCACCGGATTGCTGTACATATTCGAGTCTGCGTCTAGGTCAATGGATCTGGAGCAGTGGATTGTCAACAGCGATCTGCCTACGCTCATGGCGACCGGCTTGGGAGCACTATATAGCCAGATGAGCAGGTACGAAGCGCACCGAACGCGAGACAACGGAGCTAACATTGTCCAGAAAGCTATCAATACTCCACCCCGCGCATGACCTGCCTCCTGTCTTACTACTCTCCGACTACACTGAGATGCAGCCCAACCCACAAGCAGAGAACTTCTTCACACCCGACTTCCAGAGTCATCTCCTCACCTTCTTGTCTTACCTTGCCTTCTGGCAAGATGTGCTCGAGCATTGCAGATCTCTGGATGTTAGAGTTACATTGATTGACCACTTTCAAGCTTTGTTCCTTCAGCAGCTATTGTGCGTTTTCTCTCTTGTCTTCAATATGTACCTAGCTGACTCCTTGCAGATACCCTTCACTACTCGAGTCGTCCGACGCCGATGGTGGTTCATCCGTCGCAGTACTTACGTACCTTCGCCATATACTGGATGCGCTTGATCACCCCGAGCTCGTGCATATGATGCTTCAGTATCTTCTCGCACTCCTGGACTACGCGTCTACCACGACACCGCGATCCCCCGCAGCGGTCAAGCGCCGTCAGTCACTTATGCTGCTTACTGCATCGGATAAGGATGACGATAAACTAAATCCATCCTTGTTCAATCTGGTCGACTTGGTCTTAGGAAGCACCGCATCGCGCAATCCACAGACGGTCATTGCATCATTGAAGTTGACGACTGTGATATTGAGCAAAAGCCATGGATACGCGCTCGGGTCTCTCGTCAAGGTAATGAACTTGCATCACAAAGAGCACAATAGAACTGTTGGATCCCTGAACAAGGAGCTTGAGCTGTACCTGAACCTCGCCATCGACCTCGCTGGCTTGGAAGGTGTCGATGAAGCGTACGAGAACTATCTAAAAGATACTCTGAGTTTGTTGGAGTCACATCCCTGCTCTTTGAAGACCATCGCTTTACCCGCGACATCTTCGAAGAGTCCAGGATACTTTGACACGACTGAAGCTTCAGCTAGAGAGGTAGATCCACATCAGTTGCTTCCTGAAGATCCGCTCTTCCAGTCTCTCATGGATCTACTTCTGAGGTTCCTCACAAACGATGTCGAGACAAACCTAGCGCTTACTGAGGCATTGATTACGCTCGGCACCTGCTCACAACTGCGTCTGGAAGGATGGCTATCCGTGGATCCTGCCGACTATCACTTCGAAAGCGACAGTCCTGAAGTCGAGTCGTTCACGAATGACAACTTGCGTGCCATGTTCCTGGCAGAAAGGTTTCCGAAATGGGAGTCCTCTGCTACTCCTCAACTATTTGCATGCCTGCAACGTCTCCAGGCGCAAGTCGATGCCCTGCGCAGCGATATCAAGGACTGGGATGAGCACGTTGCGAACCGTAAACATGCCTTCCGCTTCCATCAGGATCTCGTAGAGGAGTCAAAAATGTCAACGCCTCAGTCAAAGCCTGCGCGACCTCCCTCGGAAACTCCTGCTGGATCTTGGACGCCGCAAATACCACAACACGTACGTAACCAACCGACGACGCCCTCCAGAGCGCAATCTCCGAGAGGCAGGAAGGAAACTCTTTCTGAAGCAAGGAACACCCCCACTACATCACCCGCGCCATCAAGATACGGAGGCCAGACACTCGTCGGTTCACCTGCCCGAGCGTCATCTCCTATGTCAGGAACATATGCCGTACAACAGCCTTCTTTGATGTCCGACGTCGATGCTAGCATATCACAGATCAGGATGAGTCAGTTCGGCAAGAGACGCATTCGTTTCCGCCGGCCGGCTGGATCAAAAGAGGTAGAAGTCATGCTATCGAAGTTTCAACCACCACCTAAGGAGCCTTCTGATAACGCGGCGACTGGTGCTGAGGATACAGAAGACGATGATATTCGAGAGGCGAGCTTGCTGCACATCATCACAAACGTGGTCATACTGCAGAACTTTGTGTTGGAGCTGGTAGCGTTGATGCAGGTCAGGTCAAGTCTGTTCAATGAGGTCAGATTCATCTGATTGTAGGTTTGCCGAGGGAAGTCGTTGATGTAGTAAGAATATACCCATTTCTATCTCTCTCTCTTAATACATCCCGAGGAACATATTGTAGCACAGTCAAGATTGCCTAGGCATCTTCCGAGGCATCTTCGCGCACGTGCACGTCGGCCGCTTTCGGGATGGGTCCTGCAGCGGAGAGTTTCCGACAGCCCCTCCAACGTCATCTTCCACACTTTCACATGTCGATCATTCCACCCCTCATCCATTATCAGACACGCGCCTACACGAGCTTGTGAAAGCGCGAACCCGGAAACACGCGAGACTCGAATTCAGGCATAACACCAGGATTGCATATGTTATCGTCCCAAGCAGGCCATGATGAACGGCCAATTGCTTGGGCAGCTGGGCAACTGTGGCTCGGCAACGTAATTCCTCGAGCCGATCGCCGGCCGAACGACATCAGCGCATCGTAACTTCCGCTCGCCCACCCAAGGCGAAATCCGGGGTTTGCCAAGGTACCCCATTGTTTGCCAGCTGCCAGACGAACGCGTGCCAGTCGACACTAAGACACGCGGTCTGGGCTCACGCAAGGGCCGAGGCTGGCGGAGCAAATGGGTGTTTGTCCTCACACCCGCGGGTAGTCAAGGCAGGCTTCTGATCAGCAATGTATGGAATATGACTGAATGATTTCCTTGCGCTCGTGCTTTTCCTCGCTTTCCTAAACCTCATTTCGAGTCTCCTTCTTGATACCCGTTGCATGGCTGTTGCTATTGATTAGCTTGCTGTCCCTCTGTCGTCATCTCTAGAAGCCGAGGTTTCTAAAGCGCATTACGATTCCCATTCCGAAGATTTGGCTACAGCTCAGGATCGCTCCTTCAGTGTCATAATCTCGTGTAACCCCACGTGCTCGTGCCTTGGACGGCCTTTGGTCCCAATTCCTCGCAGCAAACACCTTCCTGAACCCTTGCGCTCCAACTCTACACAACATGTCTGCGAAGTCAGTACAAGGGCCTGGCGGCAAGAAGCCCGCGTCGGCGGCCACGAACTTGATCGGTAAGCCCCAAATTGGGATTTTGGAGGGTATGCGACCGCGATGGCAGGATACTGACGCGACATGAAGCCGGCGGCGGTGCTGGAATGATGGAGGCACTCGCGTGTCATCCTCTCGGTGAGTTACAAGTCCCCAAGCCTATGTCATTTGTGCGTTAAGTCTAATTGGATTTCAGATACAATCAAAGTCCGCATGCAACTGTCAAGACGAGCTCGCGCTCCAGGAGTACGTCCCAACTTATACTTTCGAAGCGGTCGGCATACACTATCCAGAACGTCACTGATTAGTGTACACTGCAGGCAAAGAAGCGCGGGTTTATTACGACCGGAACCGAAATCGTGAAAAGGGAGACAGCATTAGGCCTATATAAGGGATTAGGCGCCGTTCTCACAGGCATCGTCCCGAAGATGGCCATACGCTTCACCAGTTATGAGTGGTATAAGCAGCTGTTAGCAGACAAAGAGGGCAATGTCGCGTCAAAGTCTACATTTATGGGTAAGTCTGAAGCTTGCGGAGTCGCAAGGCGCATCTTTTCGGAACAGAGTCCACTCAAGAATGACCGAATACTAACACTTTACAGCTGGTCTTGCCGCTGGTGTCACGGAGGCCGTTCTCGTGGTTACGCCCATGGAGGTTGTCAAGATCCGTCTCCAAGCGCAGCACCACTCAATGGCCGACCCGCTCGATATACCCAAGTACCGAAACGCCGCACATGCCATGTATACTGTCATCAAGGAAGAAGGCGCAGGCGCGTTGTGGCGTGGTGTCTCGCTCACAGCGTTGCGCCAGGGAACAAATCAAGCGGCAAACTTCACTGCATACTCGGA